CATCTGAGTTAGTGCTCCTGGTGCTATTCCTGGGGCTGCAATCAGGGGTGACATCCTAAAACCTAGCTCCCAGAAAAGACAGCTCTGTGACAGCAACCTGTGAGCACAAGTGCACCTGGGTGCATCCTACAAAGAAAGGGTCCCTTCTGGAAATGTCTCCTGCACTGGACAAAAGCTCTTCCAGACCCCAACCGTGTTGGGTGACAGGTGCCTGGAGAAGTCAGCATGTAGGAAAGAACCATCTACTCTGGGAGGGGGGCTGATCTGTTGAATTCTTTATAAGGGCTATGCTTGTGTCACTGGGACCTAGCCTGATCACGGAAAAAGGATGATTCTAATCATTTTAAAGGATTCACTGTGAGGGATCCCAGGTTGGGAACAGAGTGAAGAGGGAGCTGAGAGGTAAGCTAACAGGAGAGCTGCGAACAAACACAAACCAACCAAGCCCTTTGTTTTGATGGCATCCGAATTTTGCACTGTTATTCAATTTTCTTTTGTTCTCCCTCAGATTTTTAGAATCAATCCTTTAAAAACAAATCTCCTCCCACATACCATCAAAAGGGGGAAGGGCAGAAGCCTCAGTTTCTCCTCTTCATAGAAAGGGGTAGAGCAGATGGTCTCCCAGTTCTTTAAGTCTCTGGCTCCATAATTCCCTATGGCACACCCCATCCTCGACTCTCCTGCCAAGCAGGAGTCCCTAGGAGGCACAGGCACAGGAGGCATTCTAAAATGACATTAACCAACTAGAGAGGAAGTGGTCTGGGGATGACTTAATAACAGTCTCCGAGTGGTATCTTAAGGCCGTCTCCAACTGATCTCTTGCTCAATGTGACAAACCAAGAGAAAGAGGCCTGTACTCCAGCACGCTAGCGTGTGGCCAGCTCATCCTAGCCTCTCCTACCAGCCTGGGAAGGGACCTCTCTCTAGCTCAGAAACAGTGTTTTTTGTTTGTTTTTTTGTTTTGTGGTAGCTGGTCGGTATGGGAATCTGAACCCTTGACCTTGGTGTTATCAATACCATGCTCTAACCAACTTGAGCAAACCGGCCAGCCTGAGTAACAATGTTCTGCACGAGGACTTCCTACTACAGTTTCGCCAGTCAACACTGAAGGCACCCAGACACTCAGTGCCATCAACAGAGCCTTCTTCACCCTGTCCCCACTGCCTTCCTTCTGCATCCTTAAAGGAAGTAGCTGTCTCCTCTCCCTCTTTGCCCATTCACTTTCTCTGACTCTGGTTTCTGATCTTGCCATTCCACCAAAAATATTCACCATAATTACTAAAGATACCAGTGTCACCAAATCATTGCTTCCATCTCAGTCCTTCCCCTGAGTTCTCAGCAGCACTTAACAGGGCTGGTCCCTCCCTGCTGTGGGGATGTGATGTGTCCCCGGTCTCCCTCCTACTCTCTCGCTGCTTCTTTCTTAGCCTCATCTGTGGGATCCTCTCTTGCCTCCTGCCTCTTTTATGTACTGGTGTATACTTTTCTATATCTGACTGTCAAACCTCTATCTCCAAGACAAATGTTTGTCTTGACTCCAGATTCACACGTATCAGTTCATACACTCAACTGCTTTATGCACACCCCACCTGGCTATTCTCCAGGCGGTTCACACTCAACTCATGCAAACTGCCTCCACATCCCAAACCATGGTGCTGGAGCAGGAGCCAGGAAGCCACCCTTCATTTCCTCTCCACCCCAAATGATGACCAAGTCCTGCCAATTCTCCCTTCTTACACTTTATCAAATTCATCCACTTTTCTCCCTTCTGGGTTACCATAACAGCCTCACTGATTGGCTCTCTGCCCCAGTCTTGCCCCATGCTCTCTGCTGCTAGAATATGATTTCTTAGACAAATCTGAAAATTTCACTTTTTTGCTTACAATCCTTCTGTGGCACCATGCTGTCTGACCTTCTCAGCATGATGTGCAAAGTCACCTTTCACCAGCCTCACCTCTTCCCAGCGTCTCACTGGAGGCCTCACTATGTGAAGGCTTCTCTAGACCTCATACGCCTTCTCTACTCAACTCCTACTCACTATGTAGGGCCCAGGCTTCTAGCCCCCCAAGCTGGAGCTGACGCCCTTCCCCAGACCATCTCAGCCTTGCTTGCTCTGTGTAATAGGAATCTATCTGCCTGTCTGTCCCTTCTTCTTTCTGCCCCCAGCTCCTAGCACTGCGCAGTGTGCAGCACTCAGGAGACACTCAAATGTTTGCTCCATGAATAAATGAACAAAAGAGAAACTTTGGTTTCTCTTAAAGCCTGCAGGATCTTCATTTCTGGGATGTCTTAAGGAGATACTAAGGATCAGAGAGGTTAAAAATAAGTCATCCAAACTGGCTGGTTATTTTGGTTAGTTAGAGCGCAGTGCTGATAACACCAAGGTCTGGCATTCGATCCTTGTACTGGCCAGTAGAAGAAAAACAAACAAACAAAAACAAAAACAAATCAACAACAATAGAAGAGACAGGCAATATTAGAATATGTAACTTGAAACAAGAAAATGTCAAGAATTGGGGGGGAAATGACATCAAAGCATAGAGTTGGTTCTGGTTTCTTCTTTTTTCTTAGCAATCAAAGTTAAGTTGTTATTAGTTTAAAATAATCTGTCATAACGGTAACATGTTTTTTTGTAAGCCTCATCATAACCATAACACAAAAACCTATAATAGAAATACTAAGAATAAACATCAAGAAATCAAAATATACTGCTAGAGAAAACACTTAATCACGAGGAAAAACAGTAAGACCAGAAAAAAGGACCTACAAATCAACCAGAAAACAAGTAACAAAATGGCAGTAACAAGTCCCTATGTATCAATTATAACTTTAAATATCAATGGAATAAATTCCCCAATCAAAAGACACAGTGGCTGAATGGATTATAAAACAAGAACTGACACATGGAGGTTCTAAAAGGGTGGCGTGGCTGGGGAGGCCATGGAAGCTCTGCACCCCTTCCCCCATACTTGGCCCTGTGTGTCTCTTCATCTGTATCCATTGCAGCATCCTTAATTATAAATGGGTAAATGTGAGGAGAGTGGACTGGAAAGAATGTTATTTGCTCAGGAGTATACAAGTAGCATATTTCCAGAACCCAGAATCAGATGTTCTATCTTTTCAAAGATATAAATAAACCAGTAGTTGTTTTACACCTATACCATAACTAAATGATTAGGAAGTAATTGGTATCAAGAAATAAAGAAGGTTGCTGGCTCTCCTGGCTTCTGGCAGCATCCCCAAACCATCACAGAATAAGTTGTTGTTCTTGGCTGCCTATGTATGGACATGGTCTGTACTAACTGATTCCTGATCAAAATGAGTCTATGTCAGGAGGTGAAGGAGAAAAAGCCACAAGAGAGGTGCTCTGAAGTGACCACACTTACAGAAAGCTCTGGCTTCTTTTGGCTGATCAGAGATCGGCATACATTTCTAGGTACCCAGATATATCTATTGGACTCATCTTTTGGAGCAAGAGCCATTGGTTTGTGTAAATAATAACTGTAAGCAAACCCATGAGTTCTAAAATGGCCTCTATCAGGGTGGAAGGAAAAGTATCAAACACTGATACTGGAAGTATACATTGGTACAGTCGCTTGGGGGGAAGAGGCAATTTGGCAGTATCTCTTAAAATTTAAAATGGTCACCTATGGCTCAGCAATTCTACTTCTTGGGACCTACCCTAGAGAAATACTCCCACATGTGCACAACTCGGGAGAGTGCGGCGCTGGGAGTGCAGCAGNAAAAAAGGAAAAAAAAAAAAAAAAAAAAAAGAAATACTCCCACATGTGCACAAGAAGTCATGCAAGGATAAGCACTGAAGGAACTTTTAATAGTGAAAAACTGAAAACAACCAAAATACCCATTGTGTTGAACTGAATAATGGTGCCCTCTAAAATGTCCATGTCCTAATCCCCAAAATCTGTGAATGTGACCTCAGAGGGCAAAAGGGACTTTGCAGAAATGATTAAGTTAAGGACCTCAAGATGGTGAGATTACCGTGTATCATCTGGGTGGGCCCTAAATGTAATCACAAGGGTCCTTATGAAAGGGATGCAGGAGGAGTCAGTCAGAGGAGACAGTGAGGTGATAACAAATCAGAGACTAGAGTGACACACTCTGAAGATAAAGGAAAGGGCCACAAGCCAAGGAATACAGGTGGCCACTAGACGCTATGAAAAAGGTAAGAGAATAAATTCTCCCCTGGAGCCTGCAGAAGAAACCAGACCTGCCAACACTTAACTTTTAGTCCAGTGAGACACATTTTTAATTTCTCACCTCCAGAAATATAACAGAATAAATGTGTGTTCTTAAACAACGAAAAAAGAACAAAAAACAAGAACCAACAGTATGCTGCCTATGAAAAACTCCCTTCACCTACGAGGACACACGTCAACTCAAAGTAAAGGGATGGAAAAAGATATTTCATGAAAAT